CCCACTCTCAGGCTTTAACACGTACCCCGTACTGGCAGCTCAGAAGTACAAGAGGAAAAGTTACTTTGATGTAGCAGAAATGACCTGCTGCCCTACAGATATGTGCAAATGAGTGAAGCGGGCCTATGTAAGGGACTAGGAAATGACAAGGGACTATAGTAAAATGAAATGTCAAAAACTAGAAAGCAAGAGGGAAGAATGGAGGAGTCCCACGTTTACAGGCCTTTCATTTGGAGACGAGAAGACAGAGACTCAAAGCGGGGAGGATCTCTCTCGAAGTCTCTCTGTTTTCGGGGAACGTAGGCCTCCTCTGCCCAGTGCAATGCTCAGCCAGCAGAGGCGGGTTGGAGGGCAGGAACAAGGCAAAAGAGCAGCCACAGCAGGAGGGAGAGCCCTAGCTGGCTGGGGATTTAGGAAACTGGGATCCTGCACTGACTCTGCCACCAACTCATGAGCTTGGGCAGTGAGCGCCTGGCATTTCTCCAGGCCACAAGGACAGCGGGTGGTCCTAAACACCCTCCAACTCTGACTCTAAGCCTTTAGAGTTTAACTTCTACGTGTCCCTAGACCCCATCCTCTGCTTTCTACCCTCATGACCCAGCTTTGTTATAGTCACCATTCTCTCTCTGCCAGATGAAAAAGGCCTCCTGATCTTCCTCCTTCCTCCACACTCCTCCCCATCCTATCCATCCTCAGTTGTCAAAGTCCTCCATCAACAACAGAGTTGATTACAGCATGCTCCCACTTACAACCCTCTATGGCTCCCCAATACCTTCAAGAATAAACCCAGACTTCACACTGTATCTTGGGCCCTCAAGGAATGAGGCTTCATTTTAAATTCTTCCCCAGTTCTCCTTCCTCAAACATCCTATGATCCACTGTACCAAGTTGTTTGCCCTCCCATTAATATATCCTGAAGTTTCATACTTCCCTCCTTTGGGCATATGCTACTTCTGCTTCTTCCAATGCCCTTCCCCATCGTGTGTGCCTGGTAATAATGGGGAGGGGCCAGTCTAGCCCAGTCTAAGCAGTAAGGGGGTACATTTTTTATAGCAATTCTAAATCATAAAAATTTTAAATTATAAATAATAAAACTACTAAAATTTTGCCTTTTTTTTTTATTGTCACCTTGCACTGGCAATTCTAAACCTCAACAATGATAAATACTTCTCCTCACTCAGGCAAACCACTTTAAACATCATACTCTCTTGGGGGCACCAGTGGAACATGGAAGCCCCCCATTATCCTTCAGAACTCAGCCTAGGTATCATTTCATGGGTAAAGACTTTCCTTGACCCTCCACCCCAGCCCTTCACCTTCCACTCACAGAGGTAATGCTCCTCTCCTCTGGATGGCTTATCGTCCTGTTTTACACATTTATTGCACAACATTTCTCTCCTATTTACAAGCCTGTCTCTCCCAAAAGATACTGAATTCCCTAAAGACAGAGACTCTGATATATCCATGTCTTCCTGAAGCTTAGGATGTCACAGGGGCTCAAAAGGGGGTAGGAAGTGAACAAATGAGCACAGCTGAGCTCTTTGAAACACTGACTTAGGAATGATGAGTCTCCAAGTCACAATGCAGAAAAAGCTCCAGTTTATGTTTAGAATATTGCTGCAAGTCAAATCTCAGTGTTTGGGCTAGAGTTCTTCTTCTTGCCAGGATGCTATAGGGAGGTGTTTGGGTGGTATTGAATGACTCACTGCCCAGCTACTTAATAGAATCACCAAGGGGCCCGCGTTGCTCAATGAAGCACGGTGGGAGCCCAGTGGTGCCAGCCAGGTCAGGAGCCAACGCTGTTTTCTGTGTGGCTGTCTCCCTCATACCTGAGGAGAGAGGAAATCAAAAGTAACTGCCATCCACTAGCCTAGAAGAAAAGGTTCAAAGGAAACAAAGAGTACTTCTCTCCTCTCATTGAATCTCATCCCTTTTCTGCTCTCAAGATCCCAGAAGGCCTACCTGAGAGGGACTTTTGGATAAAATCTCAAACAATCATCTCCTCTTGCAAATTGGGAAGCTGAGGTCCAGAGAGAGATATGCGCTTCTCAAAGCCACACAGCTGTGTGACATAGTTGAGAACTGAGTCAGTGCATTTTCATTTTATGTCCATTGAGGGAACATCATGGCCTAGAACTAGACAAGGACCGATAGAGAAGGCAGTATGAATAAATTTACACTTAGTTTTTATTTGTTGGTTTAGTTTTCCTTTTTTAAAAAATTGAAGTGAAAGTCATATAACATAAAATGAACCACTTTAAGGTAAAAAGAAACCAAAGTCCGCCCAGTAGATAGTGAGGCTTCTCCTTGAGACCTTCCATCTTCAGTAAAGTTGTAAAACTCTCTAAGGCCTGGGTGCAAGTGGGTTTTTGTGAAGATCAAGAAAGGAATTTAGCTTTGCTCCTTGAACTGATGTGGGGCAGAACTAGGCAGTACACTCAGAGGAAAGGTCATGAGGCTGAGCAAGGCATGTTGACACACTCATGGAAATTGGGCTATGGATTCAAGGCTCTCCTGAGGCTTGGCATTGGGGTTTGGGTCAAGTTTAATAATAGGAACTTTGAAGTCCTCAGCTCAAATCTGGGTTGCACATAACTGGACATCTGCCATGAGGACTGTGCCCTGGGCAGTGCTACTGATGTGGGTCAATGTCCTCATAGCAAGAATACAGTGATTTGCAGCCTTGGACCCCATGTACTCTCCCCACCACCCCCTGCAGCCACAGTACTAGAACTGAGATCTCAGCACTGGTTCACTGTGGCTCCCATCAATTGTTGGTTCAGGCAGCCAGACCCCTGGAATGGCATCCATGAATATTCTGTTGTCAAAAGTTGAGAACTTGTGCAAGAACAGGTCTCCTTCAGGGCCTAGTGAACCTCTGCTCTTCTGCTCAGTTGCCAGGTGATGTGCTATTTATTGGCTTGGAGTACCAAGCCAGTAAGATCAGTATAAGGCTTAGAGCTCTGCCCAACACAGGTAGCTTTGTATCAGAGAGAATGCTGCTCCTCATAAGGAGTCCATGCCCTTTGGCCACATCATCTCCCTTCTTGAATTTGATCTTAAGGAAATCAACAAAAGCACAAAGCTAAATTTCCTAAGATGTTATTTACAAAATTACCCACAACTCTAAGCAGCTGGAGACATAAAATTGCAACAATAGGTCGCAATTGTATTGTGAATCATCACAATGGCATTTCTACAGCCATAAAATAAAGATTGGAGAAATATGGCAAGTGTTTATAATATTTTGCTTAATATATAAGCAAAAACACAGACTGAGTCGAATTTGCGACATGATTGCAACTATGTAAAAACGTGCTTTGTATATGGACAAGAAGATTGAAGAGACCACGGAAAATAAAAATTGTTGCAAAAAATAAAAGAACCATAGGTAATTTTTTCTTTGATATCATCTTTGATATCATCTTCTTAGTATTTCAATAGGTTCAAACCAGTATTCTTATCCAGCTATTTATCTACATCTGTTTTCCCCACCCAGTTAGATTTCATGCATCTGTCTCTATGAAGATGTTTATAGTTCTGTTTGTGCTGACTTGTTCCTATCTTACTTACCATGTAGATCCTTCTGTAAGTAAAACCCCCACCATACTGGGCAAGAAGTGGCTAAACAGTAATGTTCCAGGCTGCTGTCGTTTGGGAGATGTTTAATGACACTGCACTGGAAGTATCACTGTGCTTGCAAATGGAAGATGCATTTTCAGTTTGGACTCTGATCAGGAAGAAACTCTTCCCACCAAAAGGCTTTAAAATCCTTCCCAGCAACCAGCATGCAGAGACCAGAGCTGCCAGGACTGATGAATCCTGATCCTCACTGAGAAAATGCAGCTCCAGCACCATCGGTGAACAAGATAGTATTCCTGCATGATCGGTGATCAGAGCAGTGCTCCTATGTGATCAGTAAGACAGTGCTCCAGCATGATCCGTGAGCAGCTGCAGAGCAGTGCTCCTATGTGATCAGTGAGTAAGACAGTGCTCCAGCATGATCCGTGAGCAGCTGCAGTGTTAGTGGGGCTGCCAGTCTCAGGGTGAGCAAGCACAGACTAAGATTTCTACGTGAACAGTAAGTAGAGGTCTAGAACAAGTGATGGACATTTTGGTCCATATCAGGCCATGAGGAACCAGAGATCTATGGCCCAGAGCAGAGGAAGCGAACCCCACAGGGACTTTTCCTCTAGCCCTAGCCACCTGGATGCCAGATTCCCCCAGATCTTTCCTAATTTGACACCAGAACTCATAGTACTGTCTGTGTATGATTCATTTTCTATAGAACCATGCAGGGGATGGTATTTAAATCTCAGTTTGGAAAGTGCACTCAAGTATCCTCAGCATGTCATCATAAAGTACCAGGCTAAAGGACATCAGGGATCACTCCATAGACACCTGGATCAGGTGAGGGTTATCTGATATCTAGAATCAGACTTCAGTATCCTGAGCTGGCAAACCTGGGAAAGCAACTGCCCCTGGGGAATTTTGTTTGAACAGGCTTGCATCTTTCTGAATGAGCTACGTCTACGGGATGAGGAAAGTCCTTAATTATTATTTTCATAAAAGCATCACAGAGGAGAAGGATCCATCAGAAAATGATAACATGGGCTGCTTTGTGGAGAGGACAGCAGGATAATTGGGGAAAGAGGGAGAGGAAGACTTTCACTGAATTCCCTTTCTACTTATCTATTTTTTTAACTACTCATTATCAAATCAGATAAATGGGTGAATAATAAATGAACGGTTATTTAAAATTAAATAAAATGAAAATCTATAGAGGAGATTTGCTGACAATGTTTTAGGTGGTGGTAAAATTAAGGGGCACCAAGAAGACTCCTGATTCATACAACAGGACCTTAGTCATTATCTGAGTTTGTTATTCTAAATTCACTCTCTAGTGAAAATAATATCTCACTGTAAAATGTTCACATACACCCTTAAAAAGAAAGAAGAAATTCATTTTTATCTAATACAAATCCAAAATGAATTCTACCTATTGGAAGGGCAAGGCAGCAGCTAGTTCCTCCATGACTGGGATTGTATCTCTGTGGCTCCAAGGATCCATGTCTGCACTGTGGGGAAAGAAAAAACCGATGGGAAGCAAGATTTGCTACCAAGATTAACAGCACCAGTTCCTCTGGGTCAGCCCTCATGGCCACGAGGCAGGAACCAGGTATGAGGATTAAGCTCAAGTCCTTCAGGATCTTGCTACAGAGATGGCCATGCTGGGCAGTGGACCAAGGTTAGCCTTACTGACTAGAAATAGGGCCAGAACACCGAAGGAGCTCGTTGCTATGCCTGAGAGTGCTTCAGGTGTTCCCACAGGCAAGGAGTGATTCCTGCTCTCCTCCCAAGCCACTCTGCAAAGTCCCCATGCCTCTGGTGTGGTGGTGCCATGATGCGGGCAGACCATGAAAAGGAAGGGAAAGAAGCAATAGAGGAAAAACCAGGGAGGAGGCCACCGATCTGTTATCCGCAGGGAAACAAGAGCAGGTGTGTAAACAATAGATGCCCTAACAAAGGACAGGCTCCCTGAGATGAGATGGCATCACTGTGTCTTTGCCTTTCAGTCCGAGGTGCATTTTGATAACCTCCTGCAAAAAAAATAAATAAATAAAAAATAAAATCTGAATATTAGGTTTCTTAACCCATCTGAACAGAATGAATTGTGCACAAAAAAACCTCTAGGCAAAAAGAGAAATGAACCAAAGTGACCGGTCTGATTCTCTCGTGGGGGGAAAAGGTTGCTGGTTGATCAAAAAGCATCTTCAAGACCCAATAGCACTTAAATCCTGGGGTCTAGGTGGCCATCTGGAGACATAGGCCTGCAGACCTTAGGAAGGGGAATAGGATCCCCCAGAGCTGCTTGGAGAGGGAGAACTTTCCTGATGTCATTGAAATGGAGAAAACAATTCCTCTCCTCCCAACTCTTCCTGCACCTGCTATCAGATCACTCTGCCTGCATCACAGCACTGATCACCTCTCTTGAACACTCCAAAATCTACAGCGGCTTTGGCTGTCTTTTACTTGACTCTCTTCTTCGCTCTGGCATTCAGGGCCTCAAAAATTTGGAACTAACCTGTTTCATCACAACTCCCTCCCTCCTAGCCACAGACATCTAGCCATGCTCATCTCTCCACAGAGACCAAGCAAGCCCCAAGCTTTCCCATCCCCACCAATTTGCTCACGCCAGCCCCTCCCCCAGAAACCATTTCCATACATCCCAAGCTCTCAGTACGTTCCTTTTGAACTGCTAGGTTTTCTTCACCCTAATGTCATCTCTTGAATGACAGCTTTACTTGTCCACTGCTCTTCACACCTAGCCAAGAGGAATTTCTCTCTCATCTCACCTCTAAGAGCATTTCCTCCGTGTTTTTCTTGGGGCTCATAATTTTCTCCTCGTTTTATTCATTGCGTGCTTCTCATAGCTTTGCTCTGGACAGCACCCTCAGGGTAGTCCATAATGGCAGATATGCAGGTGATCACCTGTGGATATTGGAGGAACTGATTTGAGAGACAGTTCATGATCTCTGGGAGAACACAGGCTGGCTGATGTCTGCTAAGTTTTTAGGTGAAGAGCTGGGCTGGCTGACCTGTTTTCTTGTTGCTCCAAGGTTTCATGCATCTGTGAATCTATGAATAGGCAAAGCAAAAGGCCACACTAAGCATCTTTTCTGCTCCTAGCCCCAGTCTCAGGTTCGGGTAGATCCCTTGGGGATCAGTGTTTTAAATCAGCCCCATGGCATGCTGTGGAAAAGCACTCCTTCCAAGAGCTGACTAATGCTGACCGGCCTTTCCCAAGGAGCGCTCTCTGTTGCTTTCTGGGCAAGCTGTGTTTTTCCTCTGCACCCTCCAGAGTTTCCCAGTTCCTCTGGCCTGCCCTGCCCTGCACAGGTAAATTGTCTGAAGAGTGTACCCTTGTGCCCTTCTCCTATGAGTGTCCAGTGGCTTCTACTTTGCCTAGGACACCAGCACGGCTTCCTCCTTCCCACTCTGCCTTAGGTCCTGCCTGCCTGCACCAGGCAGGACCCAGGCTGGGAGTTCTGTGATCACAGTCACGGGGAGGAGCCGAGAAGGGTGCACAGTTGGGAAGGAGGGCAAAGAGCGATCCCTCTCCTCAAGTACCCTTCAGGGAAAGGAGAGAATTTGACTTGAACCTGTTTTCTGGGTAATTCGGCATCAGACAGCAAGGAGGCCTGGGATCTTGCCAAATCTTTGTTTTGTTTTGTTTTGTTTTCTCTCCTCCAATCAGCCCAGGCCATTGGGGAGTGGTAGGGCATGAAGGGGTGGGGGCTGCACACACACTGGAGCTGAGAGGGCATGCTGAGCCTGCAGAAGTGGCCCATTGAGAGCTCCAACTCACAGCGGAGGGGCGGGTGGCACCCCAGTCTACCACCACAAGGGGAGCTCTGTCCTGTGGGCACAGGGCTCCGTCCCAGTCCCACAGGCTGGGAGAGAACAACATTTCCTTATAAGGCCCCAACCGCCTTGCCAAGGCTGGACGCTCTGACAGACTGTAGCTTTCCATTCTCCTTGCCCAGCTCCAGTGCAGGCCTTGAATGTAGCCCTTGTTGTCAGGCCCCTCCTCTCCTCCACAGCCCCCACCCCATCCATTTCCATTCCCTGCCAGAGCCAGCCCCACTGAGCTGGATAAACAGCCAGCCCAAAGGCCTCTCTCAAGCAGGGCCTGCCTGGCTCAGGCCTGCTGGAGGCAGCACAGGGTAGCAGAATGAGCAAGAGGACTCAGGGTTCAGCGGCCCTGCAGTGGCCTTACCTCTGCTTGAGGCTTTAGTGAGGGTCCCGAGTTCTGTGAGCCTGTTTCCTCTTCTGGAAAAGAGAGATCTAGTTGTCAGGGTGTCTAAATTCTTCAAAGCCTTTCCCAGTGGGCTCCCTTCACTACTTCACCTCTATTAGCTATACCCGATGGTAGGGTTCTCCAAACGCCTCCACTCGCCCCCAGGAGCACCATGCTTTCTCAGGCTGCCAGGACTTTGTGCATGTGGCATGACCCCGATTAAATGCTCCTGGAACTCGACCTGTAGGCCCCACCCTAAGTATGCCTTCCTCCCTTCCCCAGGGAAAAAAAATTCTTTCTTCCTTTTCTCTTCTCAACATTTGTATGCACCTCTCTTAGAGCCTTTCTATTTTGCAATTGCAATGATTTGTTTACATGCCTTTTCTTTATCAGATGATGAGTGATCTCCTTGAGGCTCAAGTGGTCTCTCTTCCTTTTTATATTCCAGAGCTCTACCACAGAACCAGGCATGTAAGCAGAGCTTCATGAAAGATCATTGTGTAAATGCCCGAATGTACAGTGTTGGGCAAGCTCAAAAGGAATGGCCGATATGCAAACACTTTGTCAACTATAAAATCCTGGTCACCTGTGAAGGACAACCACCATCTCAAGCTGCCATATATCCCCAAATCTACTCTTCGTTACACCATCAAAACAACCCCTTTTCTTGTCTGCTAGGTTCAGTATCCTGGATTCCTGGCTCACTGCAAGCCCTCAGGTGCTTAACATCTAATCAATAAGACATTACTGTTCTTTAGAATGGCAGTGGTAGGGGCTAAAAGGGCCTTTGGAAATTATCCCTTCATTTCCACACTGACCTCTTCCACTCACATGTTACGTGGCCAAACAAGTGGATTAAATGAAAAGGCTCCAAATGTTCAGCCCCACCTTTCTTATCATTTATACATTCTAGGTTCCCATAGTATTCTCTGAAAAAAAGAATCCTGTGGCTTTAGAAGTTAGAAGCACACCGATGAATCCAATCTCAACATCTGACAGTTGAAGAAACTGAGCTCCCTAAAAGAAAAGCGGCTTTCTTAACATTACACGAGTCATGCACAGAATCAGGACCATACCTGAGGTCCCTGACTCTTGCCCACAAAAGCCCTCCTGCCCCTGCATATTTTCCTGCTTAGGGCAGAGCGATAATGAATGTAACTGCATACTTTGTCAAGCTGAGTTCTTATGGGTCTGGGATGTGTCAAGTTCCAAATAAAGAATCTCAGTCTCTGCCAGAACAAATCTTTCCAAAACGGAGACTGCAGATTGTCAGGTCAGTGATTTGCAAGCACAGCACATTTAAGTACTATAGTGAGACTCTATACTCCATGATCTTAGCAACAACTTTAAAGAGAAAAATCTTATTCTGGGATGAACTACCCTGTTTTTCATCTATGTACTCTTTTGCTCAGGAAAGATGTTTGTAGAACAAAGCCCAAAGTTGGTCATGAACCCTGTTCTGACACTATTTGCCACAGAGCCAAATTCAGGATATAAGGTGGGTCTACCTTTGGCACCATCCAAGAGAATTTAACCACCTGAATTCCAAAAAGACTTTATTATAATGGGGTTTCTCCTAGAAGATGCCTGAGGGCAGATACTACTGGAAGCAAGAAGTAGAAGGAATATTGGGCCAGAGGCAAGAAGATCCTAACTCTGACACTTAACTGTGAAACCTAAAGCAAGTCAACTGTCTTTGTAGGTCTCAGTGTTCTCAGCTACAAAATGGGAACAGTGCCTTCAAGGTCATTTCCAAAGGCAATAGGAATTAGATCATTAAGATTATGAATACAAAAGTGACTTATGAGCAATAAAAATAAAAGTGCCTAAATAAGTGCTAGCTATTAATAAGCAGAGGTTCTCCCCTTAGGGTTGTTCTTCTGGGTACAGAAGAGAAAAAAGCTTCCTTTTCCAGGATGCTGTAACATTTGCTCCATCCCCCAGCTCCCTTGTGGCCACTGGCAGTGCACTATTGCTGATTACTTTCCAGGAAATCAAGAGAGGGGTGGGGCTACTTCTATTAAGGAGTTGCTTCAGGAAGCTGGACAGCAGACAAAGGGAGCCTTCTCTCATCATGCATTCCCCTCCCCATTCTTCCCAGGTATAAAGAGAAAGTGTTCACCAAGTCCAGGCTCAGAGCAATCTCTGGGTGAATTTGGGATGTCATTTCTCTTCTCTGAGCCTCTACTTCTGAATATGTAAAATGAAGATGTCGAACAGATGATATGTAAATTTAGGGAGTAACAATGTAATTTATTGCCCCAAAGAGACACTTTTGAAAGTGAAAAGACATGTATTTTTAATAATTAAATTAGGATGACCACAACAAATAGGACCGTCCCAGGCAAATTAAGCCCTTTTTCAACTTGCATGATTACTGGGAAAACAAAATTACCTTGAGAATAAGAAATCTCAATTCCCTCAGTGTTGTGTTGGCTACCCTGAACTTTTGACTGGTTCTATAGATTGTCTTTACATTATTCTTAGTCACCAAGGGCAAACTCAGTATTAAGTCACATATATAAAAGAGCCTGCATATCATAAAGCACTTCTACATTCTTTATCTTCTCGAAACAGCTCTGTGAGGCAAGCATACAAAGTTGTTAATCCCATTTTAGAGATTTTTTTTTAATAGGCCTAAAGATAGTCAAGGACTTACCCAAGGTCATGAAGCAAAGGAAAACATAGCCATGCCTTAGGCTCTTTGCCCTGTGCTTATTTCCTTAGGCCAGGATAGTAAAGAGGGCACTTTATTTGCAAACACAAACTGGCTTTAGGCCAGCCACCTTCCTTTCATACAGTTCCTTCTCTATCCATAATAATGACAATCAAAACATAGAACACTTTTAGATCCACCCAGCAAAGCTTGAGGTTGGCCAGCATCTTAAGAATCAGCTAAATTTACAGATGAAGAAACCAAACCTAGAGAGAATGAGCTGTCTAAGATTACCCATCAAGACCCGCATTCAAGTAGAATTTAGATCCCCAAACTCCTCCTTTAGAACTCTTTCAGTATTAATGAAACACAAATATACTTAGGAAAGTAAACATAACTTATATCCATCCCTTCATCATATCTCAAAGACTCATCAATCACCTTTTGATTTTCTAATGTTGAGGAGCCTCAAGCTATTACTTTCTTCCTTTAGCTTGGGAAAGTGAGAATGGAGAATATTTAAGTTAAAGGCCACATCTTATTTCCTTTCCTTGAACTTCCAGTGAAAATTAAATGAAGTTTCTTCATGGGCAAAGTTCTCATAATTCAAAATGTTTACCAGAGTCCTGAGGGCAAAACCAAAAGGAGCTTGCCATGAAAGAATGAGCAAGCACTTGGAAAATAATTAAGGAGACTGGGTTTGAGTTCAGGTTCAGCTACTAATTTGCAGCACTACCTCGATCAAGTTATTTTCCCAGTCTGGACCTCAGTTTCTTAATCTGTGAAATAAAAGAGATTAGGTAATATCTAAACATTTTTCCCTAACAATTTTAAATATTCAAACTGTAAGAGTAGATGTTTTTGAGTGAAGGACTGATCAATTTCTTTTCTGTCTGTTAGCTGCATTTGAGTCACTGCCTAAGAGAGATTTTGTCATAACATCTTTCTGGTGGCTATTTCCTGCCCCTTTGCTCTACTGTTGATTAGCTCAAGTAACTATTTGTGCCAACTAAGTGGGGCAAAGAACAGCTCACCCACTCCAGTTACAAATAAGTTAAATCAGAGGCATTAGACAAGTTGCCTAATTGGCTGATTCCTCATACACGGCTCAAAGCCTTATCTCTTATTTCTTAATATATTGCCTGTGCTGAGGTCATCGTTACATATATTTCTCTAAGGAATTGTAACTACAAGGCAAAATAAGGACTACATGACATTCATTGATGTCACTGTTTGAGGCCAATAACCCTGAAAATGGAGGAAAACTTCCCAAAAGGCATATATAGCAATGACTTGTTAATATTGAGGACCACTGACATGACTTGTAGGTCTGAGCTAAAGATTCAGACCCTGGATACCCATCGTGTCAGTCTTCCTTTTATGCGGGAGCTGAAGCTGGTTACAGTGAAATTCTGCATTTCTACTCTACCTCGCCCTTTTTCTTTTCATATAACAAGTTCTTATTCATTGGAAAACCCATCCTATCCTTTATGCATGAGACAGATTCTTCCCACATAGCCAAAGAAGCAAACATATGTCCTAGGCCTGGTCTGCACATGAAGATGAATATTAGACAAAAACAAGTCAATTTAATTCCTCACCATCAGTTTTCTGCTTTCGGGGAAGATTATCTTGCCCCACTGGAGTTTACTTAGTTGATTAAATGTGAATCTTCTAGGTGACTATCCTGCCCATATATGGAGAGAGCTGGAGAGAAGGAAACCTTATGATATTATCTGAGCCCCTGGATACAGCCAGATGTACAGCAAAACTACTCAAGCTTTTCTGTTACTGAACTAATAAACCCCCTCTTTGGTTTAAGCTAGTTTGAGTTAGGTTTCTGTAATTTGCAATCAAAAAGAATCCTGACTCTTGTTAACTTCTTATTAAATTCTTCACAGAAACTCTGAATACAGAGCTGAAAGAACTTTTAATGTGTTCAAGTTCATCTATACAGAGAGAGACCAAAAAGATCTGTTCAAGGTTACCCAAAGAAGTTACAGGACTAGAAGGTCTATCTCTGAATTGGTCTAAAAGATCCCTCAGAAGTCACTTAATCCAATCCTCAAGTTGATTATAATGTTAATTCTACAATGCAAAAATAAAATTAAATTAAATTAAAAAAAAACAAAAAACAGAAAAAAAGTCACAACTTTAAGAGTCATTCTCTTCAAGAGCCTTAGAAATAACATAGCCTCTAGCCTCCCCAGAGTATTCTGATCATATATGTGTCATCTTTTTGTTTTTCGTAGCACTTTTATTGCTATAATAATTCCAGAATATGCCTAGTTCAAATCCCATCCACTGTTTACTTACAAACTGTATGAACTTGAACAGGTTAGTTGTAGTATTCTGCATGAGTTTCTTCATCTATGAAAT